TGCTCCAACACTGGGACTGGATAGCCATTTGTCTGAAATGGTATAGGGTTTCCTGCCTGAGCAGGGCATTGGACTAGATGACCTCCAAGGTCCCTTCCATCATCATCATCATCATCATCATCATCATTATTATTATTATTACTACTACTACTACTACTACTACTATCTTCTTAATACTCATTCCTCCTCCTCCTTTCCTCACAAACAGCAATCTTGTGAGGAGGGTTCGGCCAAGAGAGAGGGACTGATTCAAAGTCACCAAGCTAGATTTCATGGCTTTCATGCCCAGGGGAGGCCAAGAACTCACCATTTCCATTTCCCGGTTTCTAGGCCAGGACCTTCATCACCACACCAAGCTGGCTCACCTTTCCCAGCATGGTCAAAGCTTAGGGAATGCTGCAGATTACTTTATCAAAATATGGAAAAATATGTCTCTCTCTTTCAAAACGTATCAATTCAGGGCTAAATCCTTGTAACCCAGGTTTTGTGGATGCTCCATCACTGGAGGTTTTTAAGAAGGTATTGGACAACCATTTGTCTGAAGTGGTATAGGGTCTCCTGCTTGAGTAGGGGGCTGGACTAGAAGATCTCCAAGGTCTCTTCCAACTCTGTTATTCTGTTATTCTTTTCAGAGATCTTGTATGAGACTTCAGTTTGGTATAATTCTTAGATTACTAGATTAAGAAACTCACTGGGTGGTGGGTACAGTTGTGCATTTGGGCTGTAAAACTCCAACATGCAGCTAGATGGAGGCAAAGGGATACATTTAAATTTTTGCCATCACTTTCTAGAGATTTCCAGCCTTCCTATGGCAACACTAGGGATTCTCCTATCATTGGGCCCACAATTATTGTGAGGATAACGTTGGAGAGGAGCATCATGTGTTCCACCTCAGGTCACAGAAAGAAATGAGAATGTGTCAGAAAGTGTATTTATGTGAAGATATTTTCTCTGTGGAATAGGCAGGTGATCTGACCATTATTATGAGAACTTTGTCAAGGTGTCTTGCCTTTTCAACACTTTCAACAGGTTAAGAAAAACATAAATCCCGGACAATTAGAGCAGCTTCCTTGCAATCATTTGCTTTTAATTACAGGGAGTTGATTGCGTTCTTTGAGGATATGTCATTTGAGGAGAGGAGAGATCTTGGGGGAAGCAGATGGATATGAGCAAAACTTGCATATTATTTTTCTTTGCTTCATTTATTAGTGTTTGGCAAATTGTCACAAAATACAGTTCTCAAAATCATTCTATAATCCCATTAACTTCATTTTGATAAGAGATTGATGCAATTGGAGAATGTCTTTGAACAACAAAAGATTTAGATTTACAGTAGAGTACCCAGTTCTTCCTAGTTTGGAAAGTCTGGAACTTTGAATCAACTAAAAAATCTTATAGGTTTTTTTTTTAAAGGAAACAATTGATAATAACAACGCTAGGTTACACAAACTGTTTCCTATGAGGAAGGCCAGTGCTCATATTTGCTATCAAAGATGATTGTATATACATTTCCAATGTTTAAAACTGATTTAGGTGCTTCTTTGCAATATGCTGTAAGAGATACTGTAGCAAGGAAGTAAAGGCCACAAGTTTCAATGCTTTAGTGAATGTAGCTGAATTTGCCAGAATGCAACAGCTTGGGAAGACAGGCTAAATCCCATAATTCATTTGCAAGAAGAAAAGCCAAAAAAAGAGTTTGTAATGATACTGCCAATGAGTTCATTAATAACATAAACTGGAAGAAATAATGCAGCTCTGAAGAATTTTATAAATATAAAAAAATAAACTGACATTTTAAAGGAAAATTAACAATCAATTTCAACCTGCAGTAATGTTTCGTTTCTTCAGAAGCCAAAATAACGCTAATACCTCTACCATAATTAAAACTAAGAGGGATTTTGTTTCTCCTGCGTGGATTTTATTTTAACAACAGCAAGAGTGAGGAGCGTAGGAACATAACCAGAACAATGCTCTGAACAATACTAGCAAAATTTTTGATTATTTTGCAGTTATTTTGACAAATTATCATCCAGTGAAGTTGAGAATGAGAAGGAAAAAAAAAATCAAGCAAAGGCAGGATCCATCTTTTCTTTGATAGAATTACTACTTGGTAATTTACAAAACAACAACAACAACAACAACCCACTTATCCAACCATTTTGTTTTGCATTTTTAATTAAAAGCTTCAACTTTTTATTTCAACTAGCTGGAAATCTTTTGTTAAGGCTCAGTGTGCTTTACAAATTGACTATGCAATCGGAAGTAATCACCCATGACTTCAGCACCACTTTTTCCTATCTATGCAAAGGATTGCAATGGCAATAGCCCATAAATTAATTGTGAGGTTAGTTTTTTTGTTCTGTTTTGAATGCCTTTTTTTAAGTGGATCTGTTTTGAATATGTGCATTTTATGATGAATTTTCAGCCCAGGTGTTATCTCTTATGGGTGTATAATAGAAAAATGGATACATATCCCAAGGGCATGGATGTTCTTTGGTCCTGATCTCCCAGTCCCCAGGATTGGATGGCAACTCTTGGGAGCAATAAGGCTGCCTAGATTGGATAGGAAGTCACTGGCTTAACTACCCTGCTTTGTAATGGATAGTGCTCTTATTCGCTTTATGTTGGGGCATTGGGCAATGTAAGATTAGTTCATGAAATGTGGTAAGTCTGAATAAACAGAGGGCATCTTTAGTTAGACTCCAGTCTCAGGGAGCTTCCTAAGGCTTCTTTCCAAGGCTTCTTTCCAAAATCCTATCTCTGAATAGAATGTACATGGGATTGGATTCTTAAGGTTAAGTGTTTGCAAGGATAAGCTACCATGGATTTATCTGAACTAAGCTACCCTTCCTTTCTCCAACTGATGCAACAGTTGAAAGCTTTCCAACATTGTTTTCTAGGTTGGAATCAGAGTTCTGATCAATCTTCACATTTGCATGATACTTTGAGTTTTTTGGGTTGGCCTTAATAAGGTAGTTCTTCTACGGGTAAGTTTTCTCTCTCTCTCTCTTTCTTTCTTTCTTTCTTTCTTTCTTTCTTTCTTTCTTTCTTTCTTTCTTTCTTTCTTTCTTTCTTTCTTTCTTTCTTTCTTTCTCTCTCTCTCTCTCTCTCCCTCTCTCTCTCTCTCTCTCTCTCTCTCTCTCTCTCTCCCCCCCCCCCCAAAATTGTATTTCTTTATTACAGGCTACTTCTATGATGAAGGCTAAATAAGAGCCATCTCTTGTTTTTTGTTAAGGGTGAGCCACGTTCTGGAGTTGTTTGTTCCAAACAAGAGTGATCCATGGGAGATGGTCAAAAATAGGGGTCTCCAAACTTTAAGACCTGGGGACTTCAACTCCCAGAATTCATCAGCCTGCAACTTTAAGACTTGGGGACTTCAAGGCCCAGAATTCCTCAGTCTACTTTTTTGGATTGGCCTTAATAAGGTAGTTCTTCTACGGGTACGTTTTCTTTCTTTCTTTCGTTCTTTCTTTCTTTCTTTCATTTGTCACACATCTCATTTTGAAGCAATTCTAGGTGACTTATAAGATTATATTTAACATTTTGTCAGCTCCCCAAATAATAATAAAAATTATCAGTTATCTGATCTTGTATTTTAGTACATGTCAGCTGCTTTGCAACAACAGCATAAAGGTATTATTAAAATAATAGCAACAGAAAACTACATAGGCAGTATAAAATAGTAGTAACTTTATGCTGGGTCTTAGAAATTTAAAAGTAGTGCAATTCCTGGAGAAGAGAATGATCTGTTTGAACTGAACAATGTTTAGCTTACCCAATTTGGCATTTTAAGAATAGAAGATGGTAAAATATACTTTTTGTTGCTATTTTCTATTTTGTGAGGTTGATTATAAAGAAGGGTTGGAGCCAAACTTAAATCTTACTAAGAAGAAGTTCACAAGAGTCAGTGGTTATTTTAGTCCATCTAATCTACTCTTAAATATTATCAAATCTGAATAAATAACTACAGGACGTTCCTGTACATGACGTGGGAAAATAAATAATAAATACTTATTTAGTAGGTTTAGATTATTACCACAATCAGATTTCTGAAATATCTACACTCAGCTGTTAGTTTTGAACCGCAGAAGGACTGAAGGTTGATCATTATTATTGCATGTTTCTTCCACATGTCTCTTTCAGAAGAAATGTATCTGGGCAGCAGGAGTTCAGGTTATTATCCTATCCACTCATATTTTATTTGTATTTATTATACCCATTTTGAGGAAAACTGACTCCATTGTGACTCTGAGCCATCTCCTAGAAGGCATGCTTCCTACGTCCTATAAGATGATGATGCTTAATTGACAAGACCTTGAGGGTGCCATTCTTGCTGACCTGGCCAACAGATGGTCCTTCAGATATAACCAGATCCTATGCAAAGCAGGGCTTTATAAGTAATAACTAGCACCTTGAAATGTACTCAGAAACCATATGGCATTGTACATAATGCAACATGCCCATCATTGTCAGCATCAGTGCCTTCTGGACCAGATGAGTGGTCTTCAAGAGCAGCCCTATGTCAGGTGCATTGCAGTAATTCCAATGTGAGATGATCAAGGCATCATGGCTCCTAACTGGTGAGGTACTCTGGGGAAAGAGATAATCTCTGGCCAAAGTCATCTAGACCCCAAATCCCCAACCTTTTGGGCACCAGGGACCGGTTCTGTGGAGAGAGGTTTTTCTGCAAACCGGAGGGTATGTGGTTATATGTGCTGCTTACATCACACAGATGGGGCTTTGCTTGTTTGTGTGGACCGATTGCTGGCATGCTGCGGCCCGTTACTGGTCCACGGACCTGGGGTTGGGGACTCCTGATCTAGACAACTTCAGAGATAGGCATAGATGATCCCTCTAGTCCAACTATTTAGCCACTGCACCACACTGCCTCTGAACAGTTGTCCGTTCTGTTAAATCTGGAACCAAAAGCATGATTATAACCATCATATAACCACCGGTAGCATTTATTTGGTTTTAACAAAATTACAATTAAGGACAAAAGCAGGACTGCTTTTTTATGCAGATCATCATGAATACTTGTTCCTCTATTCAATTTTTTTACACATTGAATTTAGAAACTGCCAATTTCACTCACAGAGCGATTCTAGGCAGAGTACGGTTAAAAACATAAAAACCATATAAATATTGTATCCCATTAGAAGGCAGTTAAAACAAGAATAGAATAAAGTAGAAAGGGGGGGGGTAGTGGTTCTTCAAGCCCCTAACAAATCTCAAGGTTTTGTGCTCCTACTCACACCCCAAGGAAGTTGGCAGAGCCCAGGTCTTCAGGTCTTTGGTACTTTATCAAGGCTTCTGAGACAGGCTGTACCCCAAGGGTTGGATTACAGCTCTCATCACCCATATCCATCTACACCAGTTGACTGTTTGATGGGAGTTGTAGTTTAACATTCTGGTGAGCACTTAGTTGAGCAAGATGAACATAAACTCTGTGTGTTCATTTTAAAAAAACCAAAATATGAAGATTCACATACTGGGTTAAAAATAAAAATGTTCTTTAGGAATCAGAAAGCATTCTAAATGTGTAAGACCCTGCAGCACATAAAATTCTCCAAAGAACCATTCTTCTTCTATTTCTGATCTGGCACGCCATATTTCACAGGTCTCTTCACATCAGGCGTTGATAATCCGTGTTTTCTGCAAAGCGTTTCTTAGTTTATCCAGTGCTCTGTGGAGGGCAGCTTTCATGTCTGCATTCCTTAGGCTATATATGAAGGGGTTGAGCATGGGGGTGACCACAGTGTACATAACAGTGGCTACCTTGTCCTTGTCACCAGAATAGGAAGAGAGGGGCCGGAAATAGACCCCAATGGCAGAACCATAGAAGAGGGTCACGACGATCAGGTGAGAAGCACAGGTTTGGAAGGCCTTGCTCCGACCTTGGCCAGAAGGCACCTGAAGCACAACTTGGACGATGCGGATGTAGGAGACAAGGATGAGAATGAAGTTGCCAATAATAATGGTTCCTCCTTCAAAGAAACTCAACATTTCACTGAGGCTCTTATTGGAGCAGGCCATTACTACTAAAGGCTGGAAGTCACAAAAGAAATGAGGTATCTCATGGCGATCACAGAAGGAAAGCCTGGACATCAAGACAGTATGCAAGAGGGCATGAAGATGGGCCAGCAACCATGCCACAAATACCATGATATGACACTGCAATGGTTTCATCAGCACAGGATAGCGTAGCGGCAGGCAGATGGCCATAAAGCGATCCAGTGCCATGGCACCCAGCAGGAAGTTTTCAGTGATAGCAAAGGCCAGAAAGAGATACATCTGGATCATGCAATTAGTGAAAGCAATGTTCTTGCAGCCTGTGCGAAGATTGTGCAGCATCTTCGGAATGGTAGTTGAGGTGAAGCAGACATCCACAAAGGAGAGGTGACTGAGAAAGAAATACATCGGTGCATGGAGGAGCCGGGCATCAGAGCGGATCAAAAAGATGATCAACAGGTTCCCAGTCACATTGAGCAGGTAGAGAATGAGGAAGATAACAAAAAGGAAGTGCTCCTGTTCTGGCCGAGTGGATAAGCCAAGGAGGAGAAAGTCAGGGTGGCTGGTGTTGTAATTTTCATTCTCCATGGATCTGAGCTTAGTAAGAGAAACTCACCTGAATGCTAGGAGCAGCAAGACTACTGGTAGCAGTACAGTATCCTTCTCCAGGACTTCTTTTGGCATCAGTTAACCACCCTGGGATATTTGGCTGTTCATTTTTACATTCCAATGTATGGCACAATAGCAACCACAGGCGAACAGATGTTGGCTGCAAAAATCCAGAAGGCCACTCTGATGGCAAAAAGAGATATACAGAAAATTATTACTCTTTGCCATCATTTAGTGATTATCTAGTTTTGTAGCCCAGATTTGTTAACCCTAAAGAAAAAAACTGTGAATATGTAACACCTCCGAGATGTTATGTACAACATTCTGGATGGCATGGGATGGGATGGGATGGAACAGAACGGAACAGAATAGAATAGAATATTTATTGATCTAGTTATTTGATTATATCAAAAATATAAAACTAATACAAGCAGATACAAAGAAAATAATAGAACATGTTTATAGTAAATCATCACCCTTACAATTAACTCCAATCTGATCTCTTTGAAATGGTCTTTGAAAGAAAGAGTACAATCCTATTAGTGATATGCAGGCTCCTTCCCAGCAAACAGGCAAGTAAGACAGTTCCTCCTGAATTGAGGATTAATTCAGATATTAGCTACCTTACATAGCCAGCTTTCAGAATTCACTTTCGTATCGTAATCTCTTCTTACGTTGGACTGATGCAGTCCTGACTTTAAGTCTATTGTTTTTTTCTCAACCTATAAATATATCAATGAACAATAGTTTACAAAAGACAAAAATAATGTTAAAAGTCAATGCATGTTTTATAAATTCAAAATGTTAATGTTGATATATCTAGCCATTTACACAATCACTTTTACAGCTCTTTTCGTTTAGATAGTTGTCTGTATATATTATAGACTTTCATCTATCGACTGATGGATATCCAAATACTGCAAGTTATCCTAACTTTTTCTAATTCTAATTATTCTAATTACTCATACATAACTATCACACCACCGGAAAAAGGCAATAAAGCCTCAATTCTATATATCAGGATTTTATACAGGTAGTCCTCGATGTACGACCACAATTGAGACCAGAATTTATGTTGCTAAGTGAGAAATTGGTTAAGTGAGTTTTGCCCCATTTTACGACTTTTCTTGCCACATTGGCTAAGTGAATCACTGCAGGTGTTCAATGAGTGACGCGGTTGTTAAGTGAATCCTGCTTCCCCATTGACTTTGCTTGCCAGAAGGTTACAAGGGGGGAATCACATGATCCTGGGAGATTGCAACCGTCATAAATGTGAGTCAGTTGTCCAGCCTCTGAGTGTAAATCACGTGACCATGGGGATGCTGCAACGGTCGTAAGTGTGAAAAATGGTCAAAAGTCACTTTTTTCAGTGCTGTTGTAACTTTGAACTGTCACTAAGTGAACTGTGGTAAGTCTGTCCCCAACCCCCGCTTTAACCCCCTGCTCAGGCAGGAGACCTTACAGAATTATAGAATAGCAGAGTTGGAAGGGACCTTGGAGGTCTTCTAGTCAAGCCCACTGCTCAGGCAGGAGGCCTTATACCAGGGGTCCCCAACCTCTGGTCCGTGGACCAGTACCAGGCCTCGGCATGCCAGCAACCAGTCTGCACAAACAAGCAAAGCCCCATCCGTCGGATGCAGGCAGCACACATAACCACGCACTCTCCGGTCCGTGGAAAAACCTTTCTCCATGGAACTGGTCCCTGGTGCCCAAAAGGGTGGGGATCTCTGTTCTAGATGTTTGATCTGCAATCGTTAACAGTTCCAGATAGTAGTACTGATGGTCAATAATTATGGATTTGCATTTGCCAATTTCTGGGGAAAAATAATTTCTGTTTAGGTCAGTTCAGGGGTTCTTAGAATACCTTTCCACAGAATGTCACTATAATGCTGCACTCTTCTAAGACATGCACAAAATTGCTCTATTTTATGATCAAGAGGTGCTTTATCTGGAAGAGTGGAATCCTTAGCTCTTTTATTTTCAAAGATGTTAGGAAGGAACAAAGGATATCTATCCCTATTCTTATATTTTTCAACTTTGCATAGAAAAAAAAATATCTGGGAGTCGGTAAAAAAGTCTAAAGGGGAAAATGGCTGGAATGTGTTAAACAATCAATTTGTTTTGATATCGTTCTGCTCTGATCAGATTTGCAGTTTTCTTTAAGGAAAAAAGAAGAAAAGGAGCATATTTGTGAGTTAAAAACAGTTTGAAACCCCAACAGATTTATTGCCTTCTAATCTTTCATGGATCCTTGTTTTTGTGGATGAAACTTATGTGATAATAGATTAAAGCTTAAGGGATAATAGATTTTCAATCTTTACAGACTTTTGGCCCATTTTGCTGTCCAATATTAAAAGAGTTCCTTTGGATCTTACAGTATTTATTTATTTATTTATTAAAAACCCAATTAGACAAAATCATTGTATGTGTGTAATTCAGTGGCAGTCATGATCTATGAAGGAAACTTCAGGTTTTAAAAAAAGAAAAAACCAAACAAACCCTTGGTTCTGAATATTAGATGGGAGGGACAAAAACAAGGTCATAAAGACTTGGAGGTTTTTGACCAGCTGAAGTGCACAGTACATCAAATAAGGAGGAAATTCAGTGAAATAATAAGTATATTGATGAAACAGATTGGTTTGATAGCAAAGTATATGCAGTGGTGGGATTCAACCGGTTCGCATCACTTCGGCAGAACCAGTAGCTAATTTTTTGTTGCCCAGGCCCAGAATGGACTTCCGGAAGCGGCATCCACACAGAGAACCAGTTGTTCACATATGTGAATCCCACCACTCAGTATATGTAATTGGAAAGATGAGGAAAGAACGGGCTGCAGGGCAATGGGGGGAACCTCAAATGGACTAATCAAAGTGTAACCTGATTAATCAGTGTAACAATTCCTCATATTGATTTAGCTTGTAGACTGTCAGCTGCTTTTACCTATTGCAAGGCTGAGATTTTATTACTTTCAAATGGATTTTATTGGTAATCACTTCTGAAGTTTTGAGAAGGAAGGAAGGAAGGAAGGAAGGAAGGAAGGAAGGAAGGAAGGAAGGAAGGAAGGAAGGATCTGAATATCCTCTATCCCAGTATAAGCATTCTTAAAATACAGTTATAGAAATATGTTCATATATTTACAAAGAAGCACTTCAAAGAAATCACTCATCATCAGGATAATGAATCATCTAAGGTTAATAGTGTAAGAAAGAGAGAAAGGAAAATGTATCAAACCCCTCTTTTAATTATTTGAAAAACAAAGTGAAAAGATCCCATACTTTCTTTCTAATTTACTATTTCATTCCCTGGGATTCCTTGCTTATCAAGTCTTGCTTACCAAGCCTTTGAGTTCTTGTGATTCTAGAGGAAGGGCATCTAAGAGGTTGCTGCCACTGCTGTTACTTCCAACTTCCAGCAATTCAGGCAATGTGTGGAAGCCTCCGTAGAAAACAGAGTGTGTAAGAAGAATGATTATATGCAGGAGCTCATTATGCAAGTAAAATTAAGGCAGAAGACAGAGGCATAGAACCCAACAGGCATTTCAGAAGGTATATCATCTGGGGACTTGTTAACAAAATAAGATACCATGGGTGAAATCTTGCTTCTCCAGATCCTACACATAATTAATAATACTACTACTAATAATAATACTAATTATTAATAATTATTAATTATTAATAATTAATAATAATACTACTACTAATAATAATACTATACTACTACTACTACTACTACTACTACTACTAATAATAATAATAATAATAATAAAGTTTGAAGGGACCTTGGAGGTCATCTGGTCCAGCCCCCTGCTCGGGCAGGAAACCCTATACCATTTCGGACAAATGGCTGTCCAGTTTCTTCTTAAAAACTTCTAGTGTTGGAGCATTCACCGCTTCTGGAGGCAGATTGTTCCACTGGTTAATTGTTCTGTCAGGAAGTTTCTCCTTAGTTCTAGGTTGCTTCTCTCTTTGGTTAGTTTCTACCTATTGCTTCTTGTCCTGTCTTCAGGCGCCTTGGAAAATAGCTTGATTCCCTCTTCTTTATGGCAGCCCTTGAGATATTGGAATACTGCTATCATGTCCCCCCTTGTCCTTCTCTTCGTTAAACTAGACATATCCAATTCCAGCAACCGTTCCTTATATGTTTTAGCCTCCAGTCCCCTAATCATCTTTGTTGCTCTCCTCTGTACTCTTTCTAGAGTCTCAACATCTTTTTTTACATCGTGGTGACCAAAACTGGATGCAGTATTCCAAGTGTGGCCTTACCAAGACATTGTAGAGTGGTATTAATACTTCATGTGATCTTGATTCTATCCCTCTGTAAATGCAGCATAGCACTGTGTTGGCTTTTTTGGCAGCTGCAGCACACTGCAGGCTCATATTTACATGATTGTCCACTAGGACTCCGAGATCCCTCTCACAGTTACTACTATTGAGCAAGGTACCCCCTATACTATACCTGTACATTTGGTTTTTCTTGCCTAAATGTAGAACCTTACTTTTTTCACCATTGAATTTCATTTTGTTAGATAGCGCCCAGTGTTCAAGTCTATCTAGATACTCCTGTATCCTAAGCCTGTCTTCTGGAGTGTTGGCTATTCCTGCCAGCTTGGTGTCGTCTGCAAATTTGATGAGTTCCCCATCTATCCCCTCATCCAGATCATTGATGAAGATATTGAAGAGGACTGGGCCCAGAACAGAGCTACACACTTCCCTCCATGTAGATGCGGTTCCATTGAGGACCACACGCTGAGTATGGCTGGGCAGCCAACTACGGATCCATCTGTGGTGATGCTGTCTAACCCGCATTTTTCTATCTTATCAAGTAGTAGGTTGTGGTCTACTTTGTTAAATGCCTTACTGAAGTCCAAGTAAATTAATTCTCATTAGACTTTTGAGTGTACTGTCTGTTTAATAATTTTCTTTACATAAAACTTTTCAAAAAGTTTTAGTATGAGATCTTTATTAGGCCAGTCCTCCAATCAAACCCATTGAAGATCACAAAATAAGTATGCCATCTTTTCTTGTGAGGTTGAGTTTGTTGATAAAAGGCTTTCCTTCTTGACATTTTTGACATGGACATTTTTTATGGCCAACACTACTACAGTCAACACTTTTTGGCCTCCTTATACTGTAGCTTTTACAATCAACTTATAACACAGCTGTGATGAATTGCTTGCTCACATTTTTTCTAATTTATGTTCCATAATTTTTTTTCCAGAACAGGACAATTCTGAAGACCTCTCTTATTGCAAAGAATTAATTCATGTCATCCCAGTAATTCCTATGATGAAGAAGAACTAAGAGATACATAATTTACAGAAGTTTTGGAGCAATGAGAAAAATCAACCCCCTCCAAAAGAAATTATAGAGAAAATTGCAATTCATGCAAATACTAATTTTTCAATACTCTTTATTGATATGAAGAGATTGTTACTTTTTAAAAAAGCACAACTTGTTTCCCCATAAAAGTGTAACATAATTTTACATCTAATAAAATGTATAAAGGTAGGTTATTATATACCTACCTATAGAATTTTGTGCTTTATTTGTACTTTGTTGTATCTTTCCCATCTTTTTTTGTGCAACATTTTATTTTTACTTTTCCTAACAATGCTTAATAAAAAAAGAAAAAGTATGTTGATATGAAAAATATATTTCTAAGGCAATGTACGAATGTATTGATTTAATATATTTTAATGTTTTAAGATGTTTATTGTGTGGGGCAGTAAGTTGTTAAGTTGTTCATTTTTCCTTTTCAGGAGAAGCAGGCAGGCAAATTATGTATACTGAAAAAAACATCAATATTGGAATAAAATAAAGTTATGCATTGTAGATTTGATCTTCGATTGTATTAAATAGAAAGCATGATTTTAAAGGAAATGCTGAGAAAAGGGGAGGAAAAACTCACACAATACATGTTTTCTGCAAGAGAAATGGTCTAATTTTCTGATTCTGCAATAATACCACAACAGCAATTTTGACAACTTATGATTTTTAATTTTTATCAGGTTATAATTTTCATGGATTACTAAAAACTGAAAGGTTGCTTGCCTCCCTAACCACTTTTATTTCCCTGTTTGGCATATGACTATTTCCAAACGTATAAAACATTTATTTATTACTTAAAGAGAAAATATTAAGTATTGCTTCATAACTTTTTCTCCCCTAGTCTTTCCAATTTTTGAAAGATAAAAACATCTGTATGTAGGGGAAGGAGGCCACTTTTTTCTTAAAAATTTCAGAGTCCCCCCCCCCCAGTCTTTCATATCTCCAGGCAAGATCTTAGAACAATAGAGGTGGAACCTAAGAGGAAGTTGCTACCAGGCATTGGGGTGGCCCTTTTGATAAGATAACATGTCTAATTACTACATAGCAGCTAATTAGATTAAGATTTGGGTAAGGTAGAAAGATTCAGAGATGCCTTCCAATGCATTGTAAGGGTGGGGAGAAAATAACTTTTAGGTGTCATATTTTCTACAAAATATTTAATGTGGTTAATTTTGGACCTTATCTCCAGTACATTGAGCTCTTAGAAACATCCTCCAAAAGAGTTTGCTTGCGGAATGAGATCTAGGAGAAATCTGTTGAGAGAAGATTGTTGGAAAATATTTCCACAGAGATGAGAAAGGGTGCAGAAAAAGACAGTCTATTCACGCTAGCTCAAAATGGGCTTGCCAGAGGAGACTTATTTTCAAACACTGACAAAGTATTGGTGGCTGCATTTTCCTTCACAATCTCTTTGGGGAATGGTTCTTTCCTTATTTGGAGACGAAAAAAGTCAATTTCTACAATTTCAGGGTCAGGTCTACTCAGAGTCTCCAGGCCTCAGTTTGTCTTCCTATCTGTCTTCTCTAGTTTTTCTCCTTTGGCATTATCTTCCTGACAATGTTTCTTGCCATTCAGAAGTAAATGAAGCCAAATAAAGGAGGGAATGCCTAATGCTTTTAGGAAGGAAAGGAATTCAGTTGTGGTGGGACTGGGAAGGAAGAAGACAATTAGTGAAGACAATTAGTCTAGGGAAGGAGATGTAACAACAGAATTTACCAACCCAGAGCAAATTATTCATTAATATTAGGCTATTAATATTATTTATTTCATTAAAACATTTCTAAACTGTCCTTCATTGAGGGTCAAATATAATAACAAATCTCAATAATAAAAAAGGCAGAAAATGCATAAAATAGCATTCATCTCAGAGATCTAAAGATAAAACAGCTTAAAGTTCCTGAGCAAATTTGCTAACTGGAGGGATGTGAATAAGCAGTTACAGACACACAAGGTTGGGTAGATGATATTACAAAGAGTCACAAGTGGCTAAACAAATTAAGAACAGCCCAGGACAAAAACCCCAACCACACTGGTTTCAGTTGATGTTTAAACATTATTTTCTCTGCATTTGGACAAGGTTTATTCTCCACTCTGTTTTCCCACTATACTAGCAGCCAACAGTGTTCTCACCCCTCTCCCTAAGAAATTTGAGAGGGGAAAAATGATCAGAAATGGGGGGGGGAGGTGGGAGGGAGAGAGAAAGAAGGAAATTGAGAATGAGAGCAAGGAAGAGAAAATAGCAGAAAGAAAAGAAAAAAAAAACTTGGGAGAAATGAAGGAAAAAATAAAGACAACAAGAAACATTGGCTCTAAAAGAAGTTTGGGGATGCTTGCATTTTTCCAAAATTATTCTGGACATTAAATTGCTTTCCCACCATAATTGGCATTGAGACCTTATACAAAAAAGGTATAATTTATGACCTCACATAATATTACAGTAACTAGGCCTCAGACTTTGCACTAATAAAATAATTCTTCTAACATACCCCAAAGGTTCAGGAGTGGTTTTTATATGCTAAAGATTGATAAAAACTACCGGTACATAGAAAATGGCTGCTCAAATAGTTGAGGATTAATACACTTTTTGTAATACTTTCTGGAATAAAATCCAAGACATGAATTGAAGACTTTGTGCTTTGCTTATCTAACAGCCAACATTTGTGGCCTGCTGAGCCCAGAGACTTCATCTCTTGTTGGGTTCACACACCAAGTCAGAATTGATTTGCTTTTAGCGTAAGGTGTTCAGTGAACTCAGTCATTATGGTTTACAAAATCACTGTTTACAGCTTCTTGTGGCTTATTTCACTCTGTGGTTAAATAATGGTTTAGTGCAATGCATGGACCTTGACTCATTTTGGACATCTCTCTAAAATGTTATCTCCTCAACCATTTGTTTTGGGGGCATCATCTAGCTGCACCTAACAATGGTACAAACATACTTATATTTTTCTGCCATAATCCGGATGCTGCCTTTCTTTTATCCCCAACCCATATCGGAGACATCAACCACTGCACCATTGGCATTAAAATGATGGGGTCCCCCTTAAACCACCAACAGCCCATGTCAGTTTCAAGGTGTGCAAAATCAGTAATGCTTCCAGTCAGCA